CGAGGCATGGTGTAGGTGGTTGAAAAGAGGATGGACAATATCAAGTGGCGCGTCGCGCGACGCGGAATTACGTAGACTTTTGTCAGGTGACTGTATATCGCTCATCAACTTTCAATATACACGATTGCGATGATCGTCAAGAAGTCGTCAGGCTCTTCGTTGCTGTTCTTCTCTATTTGAACGAACAGGAACAGTGGGAGCTTCCTGGTGATTATGGACAGGGTTGGCAGTAACGTTGACCGTCCGCCACTGAGGTCGAAGCGAGAGCCAAAAAAAGAGGTGAGGGGGCGCAGCAGAGAAAGAGTGTGTCCCTTAACAACGATGGAGGGACTGTCCTATCCAGAGTGTCACTTGTACAGTGGCTTTAGTACCACGCCATGTGGAGTGAACATCGAACATCGAGAAAAGAAACTAGACCCTGGCCCAGACTCAAATTTTACCATGAAGCGGACAAACCTGACTCGAATTGGGACAAAGGACTCCCTATTTGCGCCAAGAGTTCCTGATCTCGGCAATCGGCCTTTGGGGATATCAATTACTACACACCTCGTGCCAGACAAAAGGGTGAGTTTAAGACAGCAATACATGGAAGTCCTGATTCCCAACTAACCGTAAATCCCACATTTTCTGTGCTTGCACATGCCTGCGAGATCAGTGGATAGGCTTTGAAATTGCTGTTTGTTCCAGCAGACCAAAATTGTGAACCCTTAGAAACCATTCGAAGATTACTGGCTGTAGCGCGCGCAGCCCTGGTACTCCGCAAGGTACTTGCTCTGTGGAGATCATTTGATACGCACCTCCTACGGCCCTCTGAATTGGGGTACAAAGAAAGTTGCTCGTGATGCTGTCGGCCGTAGTGACCGTCTGGAGTCACCTCTGGACCAAGTACATCGTTTCAGGAGTAAGTAGTTACCAATGCGAGTGCGTGGTATCGCTACTTGCAACGCACCTGCATTGCATATGCCCTAGTCGTGACATTCGGCGCAATGTGCGCTGTGCCCACACCTAGTTTACCAGAAATAGCTTTTTGAAGTAATATCAGACCCCAAAAGACAAAATGCAAGTTCCGTCAAGAACTGTCCTGCATTTCTTGTTTTGGACCGTCCTCCGAGATTGTGACATGATCACCATCGACATTGACTGGTCATATACGCTGTGAGCCTGCCCAGTCGCCCAGAAAAAACCAATGTGTCTTGAACAATGATCCAGTCATACTCACATATGACTTGGCCCACCTCCTACTATGAACGCCGACAGCGATCAAGGCGCTGTGCTTACCAAAGCTACCTGGCTGGCATCACACCAATGGTCTCATTTGAAGTGCGGCATCTTCGACACGAACGAAATTGATTGAATGGGCTGACTGTGCGCAGGCCAAACGAAGGCACGCAGGAAGATGCGTCTGTCGTGCTACACAGCAAGAAACATCCGACGAGCCTATCCTCGCACAGTTACTTTGCTTTCTTGCTGGGGAAGGCCATGAACCAAAGAAAACGGATGTGTTAGCATACGTCGACTACCCAGTAGGCGTGACTGGTGTCAATTCATGGCACATAAATCCGTCCTGACGATACTCTCCCGCAGGCAGTACTTGAAAAGTGTCAACAGCAGACACATGGCCTCGTGATTGCCTGGTGGTCTTTAGATCCGAACCATGGGACCTCAAGAGAGTTGCAGAGCGACCGATTGTCTTGCGGGCAATAATTGCCCCGATACAGTATATGAGATCTGTTCGGGGGAAAAAAAAAAAAAAAAAAAAAAAACAAAAGGCTGTTTGGGGTCATTAATGCGGGATACCGCCGCGGGAGAGACATAACTGATGTCAGTCCACGAAAGCCAGGTGTGCCTCGTAACAACATGACTTCATCGCCACCATATGGTGAACGCCAACAGCAAGACCAGTGGCCCACCATCGACTGGTCCCTTCGATCGATGCCCTGGGTCCTTGGACGAGCGTATGATCTGGTCGACTACCTTGGATCCGGGCGAATTTTCAAAGCATACCATGAAACTGTTGATGATATTTAGTGTGAAATGCCGGATGCCACTGGATAAAAGAAAGGATGCCAATATTACGAATTTCTCGAGACCATATAACCGAAACACATGCCTTGTGCATTATGGCTAGAGTGTCTGGTGTTTCTGGTTGGGTTACAGGTTATGCACTTCATCATGGTGCATCTCGAAGTATCACCAAGCCAGTCCTAGAAATATCACTTAACACGCCAGACAAATTGTGAGGAGCCGATTCCGGATGAGATAACATCAACTATAGGGCTATCGGCACTTTTCGAGGCCTGGGGGTCTCTCAGGTACGAAGGCGTATCGCGTCAAGAGCCTTCATATTCCAACAGGCGATAAAGCGCGATGTGATCACTCCTCGACCATGAGATGAAAAGATATTGTGTTTTGTGTATTTATATGTCCAGATGATGGGATTGAGACGATTACAGAGAAAGGATGTCGCGTGCAGCTCTATGAATCCGGGTATGCTGTGCTCCGATTTGCTTGTGTTTTGTCTTACTCGCAAGCTGAAATGTAGTTCTAGGTCAAATGAGTCAGCCTGGAACACCCAGGAAATTGACTTGAAGATCGACCCGCTGTTTCCGTCCCTGCAAAATGCTAGAAATGGAAGTATCAAGCAATGGGCCTCCCTAGAGACGCCCGGAGACCGCATTGGAGAGCAGCCCGGCGCTATAACCATTCATAAGCAGCAAAAAGGGGAGAGCAAATCCATTCCCGACTACGATTTTGTGCCGTATCCATAGAATGTGGCACTCGAAAGTTGGCTGTGAAATCTAATCTAACACGCCAAACGCATTGCGAATTCCCGAAACCGGATGGGATAGTATCGACTATAAAGCTACCAGGGATTGTTTGAGGCGTGGAGGTCTCTCGGGTTCGAAAGCAATACTCTCGACATTCGAACAAGCGAGTAAGCGCGATGCGATCGCTTCTCGGCCGTCCGTGTGCGGGTATTCTGTGCTCTGAATTGTTTGTGTTTCTGACTCGTAAGTTGAGATAGTTATAGTTCTAGATTGAATAAGGTTGAATGACAATCGGAGAGAAGGTTCTATTACATATTTGGAGATTGGCATTTACATGAATAATGTCGCCTATTCTACTGGGATGTTTTCGCTTTTACATACTTCAGATAACTAAATACCTATGAAGAGTCAATTGAGATAATAGCAAAAATTCAGGGTTATGCGAACAGTATACACCGGATTTGCTTGGAAAAACACTACGGTGAAGAATAAAGTCCACTATCGATCGCGAAATAGGGCACCGTTGATCACCATATCCGAAACATTAGCGGCGGCGTTATTTCCCGGTAGCTGGCCCGTGATGCTGACCCTATGTCTCAGTATTTTACCTGATACAACATCTGTGACTGCCGGCTCCACTGCGGGCTGTCTGGATGCTCTTCTTCTATAATGCCACTCCTTTTCCCCTACACCATGCCATCTATTCTTCTTTTTCTCTTCTGTGTATACTTGTAACAAAACACCTTCTGGAAGGCTGTTCTTTCATTCTTTTTTTTTTTTTTTTTTTTCTTTCTCTGTATCCGAGACTGCGTCTCGTGCCTTCTCTTCTTCTACTTGTCCGGTACAAGCAATTCAATTAACTTGCAACATGCTGGGAAACCCACACCACCACCACGCACCAGACGTCTCCAGCCCTGTCCTCCACTATACAAATGCAGTGCAACGGAATGACCTCCAGACTCTCGCCGCAACTACCATGAGCGATCAGCACGCTTCGGACCCCCGAACTATATCACTCCTGGGCCTCCAGCGTCCCAGAACCTCAGAGGGTCGTGACAGACGTCCGAATCTGCGGATAGCCATACCCCCGATGGACGACCTGCCACTGCCCCCCGTGATTCACGACGGCGGTTATGAATCCGACGGAAGTAACCTAATCGGCATCGCACTGGGAAGCCCCCGCCTCGTCCATCGAAGAAACGGCGCCCAGGCAGAACAACCACACCACAAAAACGAAAAGCGTCGCTACCACCCCGCCCTCGAAAAACCCAAACGCCCCCTACAGCGCAAACCCAGCAAATGGCGCAAAATCGGCGGCCTATTCAAGCACAAGAACGCCGCCCCAAACCAGGTTCGCAACCACAAGCACAAGCCCCCGGGATGCGGAGGCGAGCCCGACTCAGGCGTCGAGGACAAGGGTAATTGTTTCGGGGGTGGAACGGGTGGAAAGATTAAGTCATGTCTAGAGGCTAAACGGAGATTGAAAGCAGAGAACGCAAATGCAAGCACGAGCGCGAACGCAAAGTCGGCAGCCAGGAATGCTGATGCGTCTAAGGGAGACGATTCGGCGCCTATGCTAGAAGTTGACATTCCGGATGCGCAGATGGAGAGGTATAGTGTTATGTTTGGGGGGTTGTTTGGGCAGGGGAAGCCGGGGCTTTTGTCGAGGAGGAGTAAGACTATGGATGAGGTTATTGCGTCGTCTAGGGTATGCTTTTTACCTCTGCATATAGTGAAGTGATGCTAAAGAGTGCAGATAAATGGATCTCCAGAACCCCAACGACCTAGACGAGCTACCTCCCCAACACGATCCAGAACACCAAGTTTCTCCCTCTTCCCGACAACGCAAGTTAACAAAGCATCCAAGGTCCTGGGCACATCCAACATTCCCCGCGGGCCAAGTCCACTAGCCAGGAGCCAGACCCTACCAACAGGCCAAGAGCAAGAATCCCTCTTAAACGCTTACAGCCCCTTACCATCTCCAATGTCATTCAAATCACGAACCTCCGAAGTCTCATCCAACATCGCATCCAACGGCCCAGAAAAGAGAGTCGATATTAACATCGGCAAAGACACTATCTTCAAAGACACCAACCCCTTCTCAAACAACGACAACAATCAAAAACCGCCAAAAGCCCTTTCAATCAACACAGACCTGGAACCCCAATCCCCCAACACCCACAACGCCTCCACAGCATCATCCCCCGTCCTCTCCCCGCTCGACGCAACCCGCGACAAAATTAACAGCATTCTCTCCCCAGCAACAACACCAAACGAAACCGAAAACGAAAACAAAAACGACACCAAAGCCGAAACTCAAGACCCCGAGCCCGAAAACGACACCGAAAACCTCCCCAAAATCGAAATCTCAGTCGCGCGATCCGTCTCCGTCTCCAAGAGCAAAAAGAAACAAGTCCTCGTTCCCATTAGGCCCAGAAATGACCATTTGACGCCTAATAGTCTTGGGACTGGGGAGAGGAGGGGGAAGACGCCGCAGGTTATGGATGGTTATTTTGGGCATCGGCCGGGGACGTCGCAGGATGTGAGGATTGAGAGTGTTTTGAGTGCTTGAGTTGAATTATTGCTTGCGTGTGTAGGACTGGGCTAGCTTATTTTTGTTTTATATCATACCCTGTTGTGTTGTTTATTTTTTGCTCTTTTTTTCAGTTTGGATATTCTCTTTTGACTTTTGATGGTAGAGCCATCATTTTCTGTCTTTCAATTTTTCATTTGTCTTTTCTTTCTTCCTCCAAGTCTAGATATATATTTTGAGCTTCGTCGGAATTCAATATATATTTATCGAGCCGACACTACCATTAGAACTTAAGCAATCACAAAGCAAAACCACAGATATATTTCTGCACTCTACCGCATCGAATCAATACATAAATCTATGACCTTAACTATCAAGCCTTCTCAGGAACACTCGGCTCCTCAACAACCTGCTTCCCCTTCCCCGAATCCAACTTAACCTCCACATTCTCAAGACTCCACTCCATCCCCAAATACGAATCACTAATAACCCTCACATTAACTCCCTTCCCAGAAGCCATGTACTCCTCCAACAACTGTTCGGGGAACTTGACAGACGAGCGCACGAAAGGTCCATTGTTGTTCTTGTTGCGGTTGTCGTTGTTATTCTTGCTGCTGCCCTGGGCATTTCCAGATCTAGAGCCGTATCCATTCTGGGGAGGCCACGATACACGCTTCAAGGCGAGGAGTTCGCCGTCTTTACCGTTTGGTGTAGCGGTGGAGACGATGAGGAAGTAACCTTCTGTTTGAGGCTTGGGGAATTTGGGGGCGTAGATTCTAAAGTCAGAGTCTGGGTGGCGTTTGCGGCGGTTCAGGGAGACAGTGATACCAGTCGACGACACCCTCGAGATAGATAGCGAGAGTTGCGGCAAGAATGATCCAGCCTTGTTGAACTGTGCGCCTGGGAGTCTTGCCTCCTTGATCAACGAGCTGACAGCACCCGCGGGGAGGGAAGAGAGAGCAACAAGGGACTTCGGAATGGCACGGTGAGGTTTCTCGCCGACGTCGATGCCCGGAAGAATCGAGAGCGGGTTGTCCTCGGGCCAGCGGGCTGACTTGATGCACTGCAGCAGAGTAACTAGCATCCGGCATGCGGGAAGGTAGCCCAGTTCCGCCATCGTGTCGATGGAGGCTTGAATGATACGGATACCCTGGTCCAGGACAGAGGTCTGGTCACCGACGTAATCGGAAATCGGGAGGTCGATCCTGGACATGTATGCCTGGAGCAGCAGGAAGGCCTTGACGTGGGGATCCCACATGGGAAGGTCACCCATCGACTCGACGGTCAGGGGCAGATTGCGGGCTAGTTCTGCGTTGATTAGGTCCTCGTTATGTCGGACGGGCAGCTCATCGAATTCGGTCGCTGAGCACATCCAACTCAACACGTCCTGGAATGTGGGGTTGGGCTTCGCGTGTGTCATGAGGTATCGAACGGTCTTGTGAGACAGGTAGTAGTAACTCATGATCTTGCCGAATGGAGTAGCGTCGACTTCACCTGTGTTGGAGTCGAAGACCACACATGATGACTCTGCCAGATCGCCAAGAGACTTGTCAACCAGTTCGATCATGAAATCTTGCGCTATAGCCTGGGCGGCCATAGTGTTGTGTTCTTCCGCGGAGAGCTCGAGACCGTAGTATGACGGGTTCTTGTGCAGTCGACGGAAGAAGAACGTCCAAGTCAGGTAGTCAAGAGCATCTTGCTTCGTCGTGATGGTTCCAGCAGAAACTTCGGCTCCCAAGTGGTTATCTAACACCTTGTGCAGAGTAGACTCGACGGGGAATCCAGTATGCAGGAAGTGCTTGTAGAACGCCTTCTTCGAGTCCTGCGTGAAAATGCGAGCAATACCAGACGAGTCGAACTGCGGACGTCCCGCACGACCAAGCATCTGCAGGACATCTGTCAAGTCCATGTCCTTGTACCCTTCGATCTTCGCGTCGAAATACTGCGTTCCCTTGACCACGACAAGATGAGCGGGAAGGTTGACACCCCATGCAAGTGTACTAGTTGCCACGAGAACTTGAATCTTGTTGTTTGCGAATAGTTCCTCAGAAAGCTGACGGTCAGATTCCACCAGACCGGCATGGTGCAGGCCGATACCGAAGCTCAGCGCCTCCCGGAGAATATCATCCTTAACTCTGGCGAGATTCAACTCAAGATCATCCTCGGACATACGGACCCAACGACGCGGATCGTCTTCCATTCCAACATAGTTGATCAGATCTTTCGCGGTCAACCGTGTCTGTCTCCGAGATGCAACGAAAACGATGACCGGCTTTTCGGGTGAGTGATTCTTGATCGCAAGGAAGGTGGGTCGATTCATCGACTGCATCAACGGGCAGAACCCTCGCTGGTGAGGGAAACCGTCGATGAAGATTTCGAGTGGCACAGGTCGAACAGAATGTCTGAAGTTGAAAAGTCCTTCCTTGACTCCCAACCAATTCCCCAAGTCGCTCGCATTAGCGCAGGCAGTCGACATACCCATGAGGCGAACGGAACCCTTCGATTGCGAAGCAATGTAGTTCATACGAGACACAATGATCTCCAGAATCGGACCTCGATCACCACCCAGCAAGTGAATCTCATCAATAATCACGAGACTGACTTTCCGGACATAATCTCTTGTCTGCCAGCTACGAGAGATACCGTCCCACTTTTCAGGAGTCGTGATAATGATATCAGCATCTCTGATCGTTCGTGTATCAGGAGTGTTGTCACCGGTTAACTCGACCAGTTTCAATCCCATAGGTCCTGTGAGACGACCCCTCCAGTCCTGAACACGTTCGCGGACGAGTGCCTTCATCGGTGCAATGTAAACAACCTTTGATCCCGGCTTTTCCCTAAATGCCCACCACATGGCCAGTTCTGCGGCAATGGTCTTTCCACTACCGGTGGGTGATCCGAGAAGGACGTTGGCCGCTGTGTGGTAAAGAACGTGGAAGATCTGGGTTTGCATGGGATTGAAATATTGGAAACGCTGTCCATAGAGCTCCTCGAGAATCGTGTTCTTTAGAGCCGATACTGGCAGTGGCTGGAGGTTAAGAAGATCCGTATACACGCTCTCCGTGTCTGGACGGATCAGATGCTGAAACGAGATTGGCGACACGGTCTCTGCGCCCAACCATCGGTCTGAAATAGCACGAACGTAAATCTGACTCGGCAATGGATCCGACAAAGGAATGGTAAAGTTAAGCTCGTGGTCGTCGTGCAACTTCTTCCGGCTAAGGATGAAGTACTCATGATGATAGATCTCCGATGTCTCCGAGTTCTCTACCCAAATCCAGTAAGATTCGGAAGCACCGTGGTGTCTATCATTCCACATGAACTCAGGGTAAACGAATAAGCGAATGCGCAACACATCCCGGTTCAAGGGCGCAATTTCGGCCTCGACACTAAGAGTCGGGAAGTTGTCAATAAGTTTGGACAGAGTCTTCCCCATACGGTGATTGTGAACAAGTTGTCCCAATTCCGCAGTTTCCATCTCCCTCATCGACTCGAGGGACGAAGAAGGCAGCCTCTCATCCAAATTCTTAAGAATTGGCTGGGGCAGGTCGAATTGATGGAACGGGTGATCGAAAGGCCAGACCTGTTTCTCAATAGACTTGCACAAGGACAACAGTACCTGGCACTGATAACCCCAACGACGATTCAACGCGATCATGAAGAGAGCACGACAAATACGGGCCGCATTCTGTGCCACATAGCCAGTGTCAGACACCAACGCAAAGTCTTCAATTCGTGCGCGGGAGATATAAGACTGGAGCAAGATGTTGGTCTTAGCCTGAGGGGTGTCGACTCCCTCTGCGACCTCCGTCGCAATTGACTCATCGCGCAATTTGATAAGCTCCTTCGCCTCGCTGTCTCTAGATTGAATGTTGTCGAATTCACCGCTCATACTGATCATCCTCAACACATCGGCTTCACCTGCTTGGGCGCGCATAAGCTCATTGAAAATCTCGATACTAGGTTGCAGAACGTAGTACTGGCTTGCAATACGCCCGACATCTTTCGCTCGAAGTTCCTCGGTCTTCTCGTTGAAAATAATCATCTGGCTCCTCTGAAGAACCTGCGCAGCTTGAATAATCAACTGGCGGCGCCTTTGAACCAACATAGGATCGTCCAGCAACTCCTCATATTCGATACCATAGTTGCGAGGCTCACGTTTCATGCGTACAAACAGGTAGGAGTATCCCAGCCACTGAACTGCTTCAGCAACGGAAGTGACGGTACCAAGCGAGATCTCGGCGTTCAGATTGTCAACAAGCCTGCTAGAGAAACGAGACTCGATGGGTTGCTGCGAGGTAACGGCCGAGAGATAATGGTTCAACTTATCATGCGTCGTACAGATGAAACCAATACCCGTGTCTTGGAATTGCGGACGACCAGCACGACCAAAGATCTGCATGACATCGAGGATTCCGAGATCAACGAATTTACCCTCTTGCGGGTTATACAACTGCGTTCCTTTGATGATCACAGCGGCAGCCGGAAGGTTGACACCCCAAGCAAGGGTGGCCGTACAGCAGAGGACCTTGATCAGACCTTCGCCAAACAAGCGTTCCATCAGGTTACGGTCGCTCCGACTCATTCCTGCATGATGAGCACCAAAGCCACTGGCAAAGAGGTCCCTCAGTTCCTTCGCACGAGCATGCTTCATGTCCCTGAGGGCTGTTGAATAGTCTTCGTGTTCCTGACAGCTGAAAAGATGCTCGCAACCATCTTCAATGGCCAATTGCCGCAACATGCGAGCGGTCAAAACTGTATCTTTTCTAGAATGCACGAAAACCATGACTTGATGCCCTTGTTCCAGCATGGCGCGCACCTTTTCAAAAGAGACCACATCCAAGTTCTCGCGCGATTGCTTGGAACCCGGTTTGCCTTTCACACCAAGGAAATGCTGCTCGAGAGGCACGGGTCGGAACGACTGGTCGAAATAGAAGAGACCGGCCATTTTATTGACTTTAAGGAAATCGGCGACATCAATATAGTTTGGTAAAGTGGCGGATAGACCAACTATACGGATAAGAGACTGTGTACTTTCAACTTGTCTCTGGGTCCGAGCTACCAATGACTCTATAACTGCACCACGTTCATCATGAAGCATGTGAACTTCATCGATAATCAACAGTCGCACCTTTTGGACCAGCTCAGTATCTCCCGTGCTCTTCCGTGTCACAACGTCCCATTTTTCAGGGGTTGTCACAATAATTTGGGTCTCCATGATCTCCCGTTTCGATAACTGCATATCTCCAGTAAGTTCACGGGCCTTGACTCCCAGCCAGGCAAGTCGTTTGCCAAGTTTTTCCGTGACTTCAGCCGCCAGCGCCTTCATCGGTGCGACATAGACGATCTTGAAATCATCCACCTGGACAGTGAATTCAGTCGCAGTTGGTTCCTCGGCTGGGTTAGGGACTGTATTTTTGCCAATCGCGCTCAAGATGGTCAACATGGCGGCATCAGTTTTACCTGCACCGGTGGGAGCGCAGATGAGCATGTTCTCATTCGTTTTGTAGGCTACATCGTAAAGCAAGCTTTGCATCCGATTCAGGGTCTTATATCCTTTGAAGGTACCCTGGCATAGTCCATCCAAGCTTGTAATCTGCACAAGCTTCTGGTTGACTCCCAATGTGCCTACTTTAGACGCCGGCACGCTGATTTCGGTATAATTTTTCTCCTCGGATTGCTCGCTTCCCAGCGGCAGCCCGTACCTCTTTCCTCCGAAAGCCAGGGTATTTCGCGAGTCGTGCTGCTTAAAAACGTGGGGATATTTCGGTTCCGATCTCGTCTGGGCCGGTTGTAAGGCGGCGTTCTTATGCTCGTAGTCCTGTTGCCGTAGAGCCTGCTCTCGCTCTGCCTTGGTTTGGAGTTTTCCTGCTGCCAACCCATCCGTCTGAGCCTGAAGTCCCTTATCTTTACTTGCTAGAATCTCTCCCCGGTGGGCGATCAACTCTATGACCAATTCCAGGTCATCAAATCCGACTACCTCAGCCAAGGACATTTGTAGCTCATCATCGCCGCTGTCCGACGCAAGTACTGCAGTGATTTGCTGCGCAATATCCGCCGGATCAAGGGCTTGTCGTGCAGCTAAACCATAGCATTTCTCTTCCAACCAAAACTGATCATAGCCCGTCGTGAAGGGGAGAGGTACACCGTTGATATCGTCAAGGTCATCGCTGGTCTCGTCGTCGGAACTGATCACATCCCAGATATCATCGACCGTTCCGGGGGACGAATAGTCGTCATCCAGGTCCAACTCCAGATCGCTGCCATAAGTAAGCTGCTCTGGGGCGGGGTCCTTGGGAAGCTTCAAATCTGCAATGGCCTCGCGCATCGCGGCCAGCTGGACCAACCACTGGGACTCTGAGGCATCGACACCATCCATCTTTGCTTCCGTCTTCCAATACAACGAGTACACCGTAGACCAGGTTAATATAAAAAGGATTAGGGGGAGTTGGAGAGGAATACTCAAAGAGTCACAGCAGTTGGATATCGCAGGCAGAATTCTTGACCGCCCACGATGTAGCCCTGCCTGAGGCGGCGATTGACTCGGTGGGCCGTTCGCCTCAGGCCACAAGGCGTTGACGACCCTGAGGCTGTGATGCGGAGAGCGGCGACGTTGCTGTGTTTTTGGTACGACGTCCCTATTGAAGCCACCTATTCTCCCAAGAAGTCGCTCTGCCTTTGCATCGCTTCCCTAATATTGTCCTCTAAGTTACGAAGTTCCCTAAACGGAGAGCGCTCTTTTCTGCTATTGTTATACAACGTGTCCGACACCGACAAGCCAAATCTCCTTATCTCACGGCTGAACAACGCCCACGCTACCACCATGAAGATCTTCTACATCGGTGTATGTCTTCCAACGCTTCAAGAAGGAAACATTTACTAATGCTAATCATGCGCCTAGGTCCTGCGAAACGACAGCAAACCCGCCCTCGAACTCTGCGGCGAACGAGACCTCAGCTCCTTCTCGCGATTCACACGTGACAGCTACAATGAATTCATGATGCTGTTCTGCAAGACGGTGGCGGAGCGCACGAACCCCGGCCAGCGACTTGACATCGAGGAGAAGTCATACACATTCCACGCCTACGGCCGGACCGAAGGCGTGGCTGGTATTATCATCTCGGACGGCGACTATCCGGCGCTCGTTGCGCACCAGCTTCTGTCGAAGGTTGTCGATGAGTTCTTGGCCAAATACCCCCGGACGAGCTTTTCGGACCCATCTGCACGCGAGAACTCGTGCCCGCTTGCGCAGTTGAAGGACTACATTGTCAAGTTCCAGGACCCTGGTCAGGCGGACAGTATTATGAAGATTCAGCAGGAGTTGGATGAGACGAAGATTGTGCTGCACAAGACTATTGAGGGGTATGTCTCAATTGTTGCTTTCCAGAGGCAAAGCTTAAATTTGCTAACTTGATATAGTGTCCTGGAGCGAGGAGAGAAGATTGACAGTCTTGTCCAGAAGAGTGATGGCCTGAGCTCACAGAGCAAGATGTTTTATACTCAGGTATGCTTCATTCTCCGCCCTCCACTATTCCAGACATATGGGAGGGTGACTTACACATTTAACAGGCCAAAAAGCAGAACTCATGCTGCACCATTATGTGAATACTTTATGAGCAGTTTCAACCCTTGTCGCTTTCGCTCCCTAATGATATCAACCTGGCGCTAGTCTTTTGGATGTTACGAATCAGATATTGTTAGACTGATGTATTCTCGCTTTTTAAATTTCGGACACAAATATGTTACGCAAGTTCTAATATACACATGTGCTTCACACTTGACAGTAATTACAGAGACTTAACATATGAAGGTATAAATGACAGATGTTCCTTATAATCGAGAGATATTCGACAATCTTCGAAAGATCCACTCAAATGTTATCGAGCTTTACGCTCGAATGGATAACCATCAAAAGCCCACACACCGATGGATGCCCTGTCAAGCACCGTGTTGTAACGAATTCCCTCCCTTGCACACGTTCTCCACACTTTCACTCGGTGACATTTAGAGGGCCAAAAAATTCACAAACAGATCCTGTTCAGATCCGGGGCATGCGATCTTAGCCTGCGCACATTGTCTGTTACGAAGGTTATTATCATCTGCTCGTATGCTTTAGCTGACCTGCCTTCTTCACAGTCCAGTCGCAGGCACAGGTTCTGGAGCGTAGATGGCAGAGCTGTAGCCATATCGACTGAATCTGTTGGCCACCGGTCCCAGCAGAGCAAAAGTGCCGGTATCTCTGCGGATTTGAGGTTTGGAAAGTTACTCAAGATATCGCAGAAGGGGAGAATGAGTAGACAAAACCAAGCCGTAAATTGGTACTCGTTGCAGCGCATCCATGCGCTGGGATACGCCTCATCATTATTTTCGAGAACTGTGGGCACATTGCTACCGTAGTTAACGACCGTGAGCGAACCAAATGCCGAGGCCATCCCACTCAGGGCTGAAGATAATGCATGGTAAAACATCAACCCCGGAAACCCTGATCTCCGCACGAAAGACCAATTCAGCCTGAGAGATAAGACAGCCACACAGGCAAATAGATCCTCGTCATGGAGAGCCTTGACCCACATGGATGTATTGGGAAACTCGGCTTCTTTAACGAATGCTTCCGCTTGACACAGGATATCTTTCAGGTCGGACTTGTCTCTATTGGGCTTCCATTTCGAGGAATTCTCAGGGAAAAAGCTAACATGTCGTACGTACGACGCGCACTTCGGTTGCCGTAAGATGGTTCACAGCAGGTGCAATACACGAACCCAAGGGACGGACTCCCATTTCAGAGAAACAGTCCGGTAGATGAGAGGTTTCACATACATATTGAGATCTCTCGATACTCGTGAAATGGATAAAAAGTCATCAAACGACAGGAAATCGAAGACATGTCTTCAACAATCAAATGGAAGCGAGGGCAGCGAGCTTCCTCTCATTGATATAGACTCTGAGTGAATGTTCATATTCAAGAGAGCAATTGCTTGTTTGCTGACATTCTAACTTCGGCCTCATCATGCCGACGCACTAGCCTTATGCGGTTAGCGTGGCATATAGGGAGTATACGAAGTATACGAGTGAATGTTATGAATTCTGCGTTTGATGAAGCTGGTTTGTTATTTAAATCACCAGTTCCAGCCAACCTCACCATCCTCAATCTCATCACTTTCATCATTTTCATCACTTTCATCACCTCCAGCACTACCATTCAAAATGGCTTTTCCAATTGTCATATATCTCCTCATCGCCCTAATCTCCTGGCATATCTGGAGCCAGTTCACCTCTCGACGTCTTCCTCCCGGCCCTATATCCCTACCTCTCATCGGTAACATCCACCAACTCTGGAGCCCAGCTCCCTGGAAAGTCATCCAGGCGTGGCACAATCAATATGGTCCTATCATCACGATCAGACTCGGTCCCATACCCATTATCTGCATCGGTAGTTACGATGTCGTTCGAGATCTATACGAAAAGCGAGGTCGAATCTACAGCTCCCGACCGCGGATGACATTCCTCAACGAATGCATGTTTGAAGGACACTTCCCAGCAGCGCAGCCTGATGGTCCGTACCTGAGGATCTTGCACCGTCTGCAGCATGCTGTGTTGAATAAGAATGCTACGGACTCGTACCGCTGCGTCCAGGACTTGGAGAGCAAGCAGGTACTACATGATTTGCTGCTTAATCCTGAAAACTTCAAGACGCATTTCGAGCGGTATGCGTCGAGCATTATGTATTTATTGCTGTTCGGCAAGAGGATTGTCCATCCAGATGCCAGCGAAAAACAAGAAGTTGACGGATTTCTACGTCTTTTTGTCGGGGCAAATGGGCTCTCGGATTCTCTGCTCGATATTTTCCCCTTTCTAAACAGCCTTCCCGAACCGTTTGCACCGTGGAAAGCTACAGGGAAGAGGGTCAATCAGGAAATGAAAAGAATTATCAGCACCTCACTGGAACAACGACGGGGATGGAACTGGTCTGAAGAAATCATACATCGCCAAGAAGCTTCGAACCTGCCACCCGGTGGATTGCAATGTCTTCTTCTCGAACTCTACCTCGCCAGTTCAATGACAGTATATATCATCCTCCAGTTCCTCATCAAAGCCTGTGCACTACATCCAGAGGCACTGAAGCAAATGCAAACCGAGCTCGATACTGTTGTTGGTGACCAGAGACTCCCAACCTTCGATGACGAGAAGAACCTACCGTACCTAAAAGGCTTCATCAACGAAGTACTTCGCTACTACCCCCTTGTCACTATGGGTGTGCCTCGCACCACGACACAGCCTGATGAATACATGGGATACCGAATTCCGAAGGGATCCATCGTCGTGGCCAATAACTGGGGTCTTGACAGAGATGAAGAGCGACATGACCGCCCTGATGAATTCCGGCCTGAGCGGTGGATTGAGAGACCTGGTTCGCGCGTGGCTGTATTCGGATTCGGTCGCAGGGCTTGCTCAGGCGAGCGTTTAGGGCGTGCTTCATTGTTCATCGTTCTCGCTAGGTGTCTTTGGGGCTACGATATTGTTCCTCGTCCCAACCTCGATGATACACAACAGCTGGAGAGTGGCAATGCAGTCTTTAGTGTCCCCGTGGTAAATGCTGGGTTTCGCCTTCGAAGTCCTGAGCGCCGCGAGATCATGGAGAAGGAGTGGTTGGTGGCTGAGAAGGACGAGGGCAAAATTATGGCAGATCTCGAAGCGAGCGTGAGCCGGCGGCCTGCTTAAAAATTTATTATGGCTTTGCAATGTTATTCCTTATTCGTTATTGTATCTTTGCTTGTGGGAATTGGAGGTAAAATGGCTGTATTTAGAGAAGGTAGAGCAAAAATCACAGGATCTAGATACTTCCGCAGAATTGCAGAGACAGCGGGTATCGGTCAGTTGTAGACATGTGCATGCCAAATTTTGTGGATTTATTGGTAGGCTAATTGCGCGAATCTAGCTTGAACGTAGTGCTTGATCAATATAGCCCTACGGCAGAATATGTATCGTGCCGTGTACACTTCCGATTCACCATGACTACACCTCAACAATTCTTCTGCTTTCTTATCACAATACTTAGCAGCAGGATTACTCTGCACCCATTTCATAACAATAACCATTTGGTGCTCGGATTCAATTCCATTTAGATTTCCGCTTTTGGAAACCATGAAGCATGCATGATGTAATGTCGTGAATTCAAGGTGATAGATTCCGATTTCGAATCTCCCATACACCGTTGGCTTTTCAATTAATCCCAAATTTGCAATTGATAGACTGTAATTATACCCAGCGCGCTCCTCTACGCACAAGTACACCGTCCGTTCCAGGTGTGGTCGCATACAAGTCATCGCCTTGCCTCTTCGACGGGAACGGCAACTATAGCAAAGCAACTCGGAATTAAGGAACTTGGTCTGCCTGGAATTTCATAGTCGATAGGCATGGCCCAAAATGTAACCGAGACGCGCGATTCTGTCCAGGATATCTATGGTCCTCGCACTCCGTATCAGCACCAATGGCCGACTCGGTGCGATGTCTACACCATTGACACGCCGGACAAATGGGTCCAAAGCGCGTGTATACTTTGCAGGTAAACACACCATTCCTGGAATGGTTGCTTACTTCCTGAGCGATGCTAAGAGGTTCTGTAGTAATGGATGCGGAATGGATATCGGGGTGAAGAATGGAAAGGTTGTCGGTGTCAGAGGCCGCACGACAGACCGTGTCAACAAGGGGAGATTGGGTCCGAAGGGATTAAATGGGTATGTATATCATCTTTGTACAGAGGGGTTCATTATATGGGCCCTTCATGCTGACATTGCGACAGGTGGATCACTGTCGGCCATCCAGACAGATTGAAATATCCGCTCATTAGGCGAAACGGCAAGCTTGAGCGCGCAACGTGGAATGAGGCGATGAGCCTTATTGTAGAGAAGGCCAGTGAGGTTCGTTCTCGTCTGACGAACCATGGTATTGGGTTCTATACCACCGGGCAGCTCTTTATTGAGGAGTACTATGTCCTTGCTATGATTGGAAAGGCGGGTTTAAACACGCTGCATATGTAGGTGACTACTCTTATCAGCATAATTTAGTTGCTCATACTATCAGGGATGGCAACACACGACTATGTACCGCGACCGCCGCAGCTAGCATGCGCGAGTCATTTGGCTGCGACGGCCAGCCCGGATCATACGCCGACGTTGACTACACAGAATGTCTATTCTTGTTCGGTCACAACGTCGCAAATACTCAGACAGTCCTCTGGTCCCGTATGCTAGATCGACTAGATGGTCCAAACCCTCCAAGGCTGATTGTGGTCGATCCTAGAAGGTCCGAGACGGCTAAACGAGCAGATGTTCATCTTACGCCCAGGAGTGGAACCAACGTGGCCCTTTTGAACGGGATACAACATCTTCTATTTAAGCATGGTTGGGTAAACGAGGAGTATGTTGCGAAACATGTTGTTGGAAAAAATGAGCTTTGGACGACGGTCGAAAAGTACACGCCAGAACACGTGCAAGAAATCACGGGAGTTCCCCCCAATCAACTAATGGAGGCTGCCAGGATAATAGGAACAACAAGGAGTCTCCTCTCGACCGCCCTACAGGGAGTGTACCAATCCAACCAGGCTACCGCGAGCGCGTGCCAAATCAATAACATCAACCTCCTCCGCGGCCTAATTGGCAGACCTGGTAGCGGCATCCTTCAAATGAACGGACAACCAACGGCACAGAACAACCGAGAGACAGGATGCGATGGCGAGTACCCGGGATTACGAAACTTCCAAAACCCGAATCACATGCAAGATATCGCTGATATCTGGAACATCGACTACATCAAAATGCCACACTGGAACCAGCCTACGCACGTTGAGAACATGCTAACCTATATCGCCGGAGGTTCGATTGAGATGTTCTGGATTTCAGGGACCAACCCTCTAGTTAGTCTTCCTAATCTGCCCAGGGCTCGTGAGCTCCTGACGAAGCCCAACCTGTTCGTCGTGTGTCAGGACATCTTCATGACTGAGACAGCGGCTATTGCGGATGTTGTTCTTCCTGCAGCACAATGGGGAGAGAAGACGGGTGTTTTCACTAACGCGGACCGGACAATGCACATTTCATTAAAGGCCGTGGAACCACCTGGCGAAGCACGTGCGGATATGGAAATCTTCCTCGACTTTGCAAAACGAATGGACTTCAAAAACAAAGACGGTGGTCCACTGGCCCCGTTCAATGGCCCGGAGGAAATATTTGAGGCATGGAAGCGCATGTCCTTTGGAAGACCCTGTGACTGTAGCGGACTTGGTTATGAGAAGCTCCAGGGAGGATCTGGCATCCAATGGCCGTGCACGGAAGCGTACCCATTTGGCAAGGAACGACTGTTCCAGGATGGTGTCTTCTTCACGGACGTGGAATACTGCGAAAGCTTTGGCCATGATCTCGAGACAGGGGCACCGTTGACGAAAGAGCAATACAAAACTCTGAATCCCGCGGGACGAGCAATTTTAAGGCGCGCGCATTACAGGCCGTCACTGGAAGAGGCAAGCGAGGAGTATCCGCTGCACCTCTCGACGGGGCGAAATGCTCTTCACTTCCACACGAGAACGAAAACAGGGAGGAGCAAACGGCTTCAGGAGGCCGATCCTGAGCCATGGGTTCAGGTCTCGACTGAAGATGCAGAAGCATTGGAATTGAGCGAGGGTGAAATGGTTTTGGTCAAGTCTAGACGGGGAAAGGTGGAGCTACCCGTAAGGATAGGTAATATTTCCCAGAACCATATCTTTATTCCGTTTCATTTCGGATACTGGGATGCAAAGGATGACCGGTCCCGAGCGGCGAATGAGTTGACAATTGGTATATCGCCCTTCTCCTATTTATGTGATATCAACGCTGATCAGACCAGAACAATGGGACCCCGTCTCCAAGCAACCAGCCTTTAAATCCGGTGCCGTGCGCATCGAAAAAACCGTCCAAAAAGAAGGCCAAGAGAGACACCACGCCAAAGAACAACAAACAGCCGCGATCCACAACATCGAGATGAATAAGAAACATACAGCCAGCATCCCCCAACCACAAACAGACCAAGACAGCCCACCCCGCGTCCGCAGACTAGAACTCTGGCTCGGCGCCACATACGAAGGTATGCATATGCTAATAGATTTTTATAACCACCTCATCCCCCGACTTATCCACGACTTCGACGTGCAATCGGGGCTGCTGGTAATGCACCGCATCGCAACAGAAACGTGCAAACGCTTCAAGCCCATAGTTGAGAAATACCATGAGAGCAAGCAATATGGCCGCTCTGTCTCACAGCGTCTGCTCGACACCATTATGCCCAAGGATATCAACAAGTCAGACCCATACGAGGCATTGGCGGCACTGCAATCGCTGCAGTTATTCCTGACGTATATCGATGACCATCTGATTGCATTATTGCCGGCTAGCCAGGCACTCTGGGATAAAGACTTTCTGGACGCTGTACAATTTGGGCAGGATTCTATCATGAGACAGAAGGCGTGGGCTTCGAATCATATTAAGACAAAGAGTCCGCAGACGTTGCTTGTGCCGATGACCATGCCCGAGGATTTGAATTCGCCAGATTCAAGTTTGGGAGGGATTTTGAAGTGTTACCATCATAGAATTTGAAGTATAATAGTAGTAGCTGACTACCCCTGTCCCTGTTGTGATGGGGATGGCTATCGTATACTTTGCGAGGACCTGCCGTCCATACACATGTCGGTAGTGGTGTTGAATGTTGGTCATATTGCGGTGTGAAATGGGCCTTATTTGGTGTATGTAGATTGTATCTAGCAATATATTCACTATCTTGGAAGATTGTTCGCCAAGTCCAGCAGATCCCAAGAATGCAAAGACGCCCATGCGTCACAGCTCGGATCTATAATCGCAACTTGTTGATACGTCGCAACTTCCGCATCCCATACCATGAAGCTGAGAGTATACCAGTAACTGAGAGCGAGACTACAACAGCAAAAGCATGCGCACTCTCCTCAGAATAGTTGATCACGTTCATGCCGTACCAACCCGCAACAAGAGTAGCCCACGCCAGCGCAAGCATAAGAATCTCAATCTTTGCTTCCAACACCATGATCTGGTTCCGTCGCACACTCAGCGTGGACTGGATGGTTTCTTCCGTGCGTCGAATATTGTCCATCAGGCTCACTGCCTCCTGAACAACGGAGTCGCTTGCCTTGAAGTAGGCCTCGAATAAATACTCGACATCTTGGTGATCCTCCAACGCATGGGGCTTTCCGGCCCTCTTATCGCTAAGGTACATATTGACCATGTCTTCATCCTCATTCAACACTTCCTGCACGACATCTCGCACCTGGCGTGCACGCTTTTCAATGGTTGCGAGCTTCCGCGTAAGATCGAGGATTATGCGTAGTTTACTATGGATGACATTTTCTTCCTTGTCCAACGTATCCAGATCGCTCTTCTGCAAAGCATTCGAGAGTTGCTGCTCGATCAACATATACTCTGCTTCGAGTACTGATGATACGGATGCAAGTGCAGCTTCCACCACTCGTAGCTCGTAGGGCTGGCTCACTGACAAGCCCAGTCCATGGCCGCCACGTAGTTTTGCTTCGAGGTTGTGGCTGAAAACGCGAGACACCCTATGATCATTGCCATCGGTGTTGTTTTGTGGCCCGTGGCTGTTGCCATGGTCGTGGCCGGGATTCATACATTCGGCGATATGAAAGAACAGCACCTGATCATGCTGCACTAATAACCGCAAATCGAACAGGTGAATCAGTATTGTACTTTCCCGGACCAGGATGTAAGGGAATCCACTAGACGGTAGGTCAAAGACGCGCAGATCTCGCGTACTCACGCCATACCTATCCGTAATCCCGAGTTTGGTCAGCTTGCTGATGGGCGCTGCAGCGCCATTACTGTTATACAGTGTGTACTGCATCAACGCATTTCCGTTCATTGGTCGTTGTGAGAGCTGAAGAGATAAATTGTAAACTTGCTCTGAGCTCGGATTTTTGTCCTCTAGTCTGCTAGCAGTATGAATCGCTCGAAAGTAACCCATGCGTTTGTTGTATAAAACCTGCCAATAAGTGTTTCCCAGGAGTCGTGATGGGCCGGCCATCGCCGGTCGCAGAGGTTGTGTATTGCATGGTTGGAATATCTTGGACCAGGTCTTGCCTCGACCTAGGCGGATGAAACATGGCGGATCGAATAGCATTGCACTTGGACAGGCCGTATATACATTGACCGGTGTCCTTGACTGCAAATATTATGAAGCTGAACTTCGTATTCTGGGAAAGCGGTGATGGGCGGATACGTTCCGGGCTGCTCAGTGAGCATAAAGCGGCGTGAAGTCAAGCCGAAAACGGAAAGGGAAGTCCCATGGAAGTTTTCCGGAAAACATCTAAATAGGTAGTGGTAATACCAGGGGTACATAGTGGTAGCACCCTCTTGTGTACTGTTTGACATCGATCTAATCGCGATATCAGCAATAACGTCATCATGATCTCATAGCATCCTCTTCGTCCATCCACTCTCACACGGAACAACCATCCACCAACCATGGCATCCCTCAAGCCTCTATTGCTCGCGGGAGGACGGTCATCGCGAATGGGCACGCGCAAGGAGCTCCTCTGTATAGGGGACAATGAACCGATGTACAAGCGTCTGATCTCTGTCCTGCATGCCGCATGTCCTGAGTCCGATACGGCATATGTATCGCTAAGGGACCGGACTTCTGCGCAAGCCTTTTACGGAAACGACAATGTGGGATGCTCACCTGATGATGTGCTGAAGTTGAATATCGGGGGATCAGCATTAACCGTCCGGTTAATCTACGACAATGAGGACGGCAGTCCTCAGGACAAAGATGTAGACATTGGACCGGCAGCAGGACTTCTTTCTGCACATCGCCAGGATCCATCGGCTACCTGGCTTGTAGTGGCATGCGATTACCCGTTTTTAACGACTGCGGCGTTGCAGTCTCTACGCGAAGAGTCTGAGTCCAGCAGGGTACCTGTTACGTGCTTCTCCAACGCAGAAGGCTTCAACGAGCCACTTCTCGCAATCTGGACGCCAGATGCTCTACATTACCTCCAGAAGAACGTCGAACAAGGGATACTGGGTCCTAGTGCGGTAGTAAAGCGCCTACATGGTAGGACACTACGGCCAGAAAACGAGCAATGGCTATTCAATACAAATAACTTGGAAGAGTGGCAGCGGGCACTGGATATGAAGCGGATGAATTAATTTCGTCTACCTCTATATACATTAGGAAACTTGGTTGTCATTCGTTCAGGAAGACATCGACAATATCTCCCTCATGCAGCTCCGATTCGCCTTGGGGAACATGAATCCAGCAGTTGGATTCAAGAAACGGTTTGATTTTGTTGGGGCTGTGGTCGTTTATGAGAACCACGTCTAATTTGCTTGTCGGGTGGCGGTGCAATATGCCCGGACGGAAGATATCTTTGTCTGCTGGACATGTTGATATCAGTGATTTGGATCCGTTTATGTCATGCTTGATGGCGCCGTTTGTTTGCGGTTCGTTGTGGTCTCGTCGTATTGTTGCTTTAAATGCAGATTCCGGTGACTGGCCTTGCAGACGCTGAACATAAGGCAGGACGAGGAAGCGGAGGCAAGCAGCGCTGGCGACGGGGTTTCCGGGCATGCCAAAGAAGGCTGTTTCGGGTCCATATGTATCAGGTATAGGAATCTTCGCAAAAAGCCCCGGATGTCCAGGCCGAATAGCGATCTTATGAAAGACGACCCGCGCAACAAGATCCTCTAATGAAGTCGGAATCAGATCGAATCGTCCCGTCGAGACCCCCCCAGTACTGATGATAATATCGTATTTGTTCCCGCGCAGACGACTTTCCAATGCCGATACCATCGTCTCAGCACCGTCATCCAACACCCCGAGAAAATCAACATCAATACCCCAATCCCGCAAACAAGCCGTAACATATGGCCCATTAACATCCTGGACCCGACTTCGTGCATCCGCTGACAACTCATTTCCTGTGGAAAACACCCCAACCTTTATCCTCACCACCTCAACCTCTCTAACTCCGACAGCCGCCAACGCCATGACATGTCTGGGTTTTATCCTTGTCCCAGCCTTAACCACAGTATCCCCTTCTGAAAAATCACGCCCCGCCACCCTCCGATTCTGGTTTGCGTCCACCGGCTTGACAACCTGTATATATCGATTTCCCGATGGCCTCTCTCCCCTTCCTACTAAAACGTCCACGTCCTCTAATTTCACGCACGCATCGAACGGTCTATGATCACCCTCAATAGCCTCGGGAAATCTTGCGCCAGTCATGATCTCCACGCACGGATACACCGAAGCATCCGAATCGGGTTCGCCGGAGATGACCATTGGTGCGTCGCTGGCAGCCATTGTGCCTGCGACGTGGAAGATGATTGGAGTGGAGGGGGAAGCTGTTCGTGTAGCGGCGGCGTTCAATGCGTAGCCGTCCATGGCGGATGTGTCATGCTTGGGTGTTGAGGAGGGGCTGCGGTACTCGCACTTCGAGATGCAATTGAGGGCGTCACATAGCGGTACTGTCTCTGTTGTTGGTGGTGCATGTTGTGCTTCGGTGATGAGAAGATCTAGGGCTTCGTTGTAGGATGGCATTTTGCAGTGTGTACTCAATAGTGTAGTTCTATGGAATTGGAGACTCTCAAATAAAATCATAACGTTCTTGGCGACAATCAGGTTACATTTCGTCAGTATGATGTATTCACACTGAACTAAAATAGTCTTGCATGGGAGACAGGTAGCTTCATCCTGGCTGTTTTTTCCGGCCAATCATATCACCGCCCTGGATACAAGTCACCTTCCCGACCCGGACTCTATGCACATCTCCACGCCAGGTATCCACTGTGTCCACGCATAGTACTTTGTACTGCTATTAAACATTAAATACTTGTCATAAAACTCAGTTAGACCGCATTTCATGCTCCAGACTCGCCAATGTGAACGCCGCGATCCCATGCAGGCTGTTATACGCCACCGGCTCATTGACATAGTACTGCAGCAGCAGTTAGTGCCACCGGACTTTTGATTTGAGTACGGATAAGAACTCACCTCGTAAGTCGCGCTTGAATTCAAGCTACACACCCCGACAGTGCCATTAAACCCAAGTAACCCATCGCCTTCATCAACCACGTATTCCTGAAGCATATGGTTATAGCATTTCTCTGCCACGCCTGTATACTCCTCTTCAGCAGACAACAACCCGAGACGAGAACCCTTGAGCAACCCATAAACAAGCATCCCCGACCCGCTCGTCTCAATATAATTCCCCTTTGCGTGAGGCAGAGTCACGACTTGCCACCAGCAGCCGTTGTATTTGTCTGCGGCTGAGAGGACAGCATGCGCCAATTTTGTATATAGTTGACGGATATATGACTCCAGTTCTTTCGGAAAGATATCATGGGAGTGTACAATGTCGAACACATCAACAAGCGCCATGAAATACCACCCTAGCGCTCTGCCCCAGACATACGGACTACCCCCAGTGATAGGGTTAGCCCAGGAGGCTTTCTTGGTGGAGTCGTAACCTTGTACTAGAAGCCCGCTGCCATTACCCTCACTGGCAGAGGTGCTTTGGTCCTGACAATGTGTCCACAACAACTCGAGCTGATGAATGACATCCCCTGCGACGGCGGTGGCATTTCCAGGATCGAATCGCTGTGTATATTCTACCAGAAATGGGAGAAGGGAGTATGTGCCGTCGAGATAGCTCCAGTTCGGGTATGTGTAAAACCAGTATCCACCGTACTGGTTTCGGGCTTGGAGGTTGGCTGATTGACGGAGAGCGTGTAGTGCATTTCTGACTGTGGTGTTTTGCGATTTGTCGTACCTAAATTCACGCGCTCTTGTTAGCGAATGATCTTATTAACTAGAAATGGAAGTGAGCATGCAAATGTGTCAACCCATCGCCCGTCGCAAACCTATCCAGCGGATATCCCGTATCTCGCGTCGCATTGGTCAGATAGGGGAGTAATCCCTCCGAGCTAGACTCCAGATACTCCTCCCAGTCCGTGTTTGTATCAGGGCATGCGCTTTCAGTCGTTCCATGGTAATCCAAGACGCGCAAGACCGCAGATTGGAAGAAGCCAATTTTGAGATAATCCGAGAATGACGGATGGTCTGTTATGTCGTCATTGCGCGCGATGACACTATCAGCCATGCGCGTAGAATATGGGCGATCGCATGTTGACGCGACATTGTGAATTAGGAGCAGTATACAAGCAGATAAGCTGAGTAGCATGGTTGTGGTTTTGGTGCGGTTACTTTTCGGTATGGAGCTGAGAGGTAAACAAATGATCCCCAGCCGTTCATTGCCTTGCGGATCTGGCAACGATATTGGGGACTTTTAGCAACGTTTTCGCAACTACAATTTCCAGCACAGCTGTATCTCAATATAGCAACAGATCTTAATACACCTTATTAAGAGGCAGTGAAGATGAAGTTGTGTAAAATGTTACAATCGTTGCAGCCCTGTGCAACATCCCCAAAGGAACACTCCACACTTAGAGTAGCTAATCTATATACCGTTGGCTCCATGATCACCCGATCCGATCTTACTGGTAGACCAAGTTTAGTCGCGCTGTCGCTGCTAAACGTCCCTCATAACACTGTGGTTGTAGCACACACCAGGCCGTTGCGGAGCGCTAAAATGCCGGGTCTTGGTATCCATCGGGTCAGATGAGTACCGAGGGGTTATACTTAGCACAGCTATCAATGATTATTAGGGATCTACTTGGTAAACTGGATTGGATTCTCCGAAAAACGTCCTGCAAGAAACATACAGGTTGTGTCGATCACATGATACAGTTAGGGTTATTGGTCAATCTAGGTCCCTATTCCGAACTATACATAGTACCGCAAGGCTACGAAGTCCGTGAGTACATGGGATTCTGAAATTACTAATTATGATTTATCTCCTGGCGCTAAGCCACGAGTCAGCTGTCAAGGAACGGTATTTGACAAGGGTAGAACTAGACGTTCGACCACTACACCAACGTCCTGCTATCTCGACTGACCCGTGTCTCTTCCTGGAGAAGATAAAGAGACTCAACAGACTGGTTATTCCGTAGTGTACATTGGGATTTAGACGGGTTGACTCTTGCTTCATGGTGTGCAAATCGTAAGCTGTGGGTTACATCACGATAACTGCGAGCTATGTATATCCTGACTGAGTTGTTTATGGCGCCAACGGAGCTCAGAAGATGATACAAAGGAGAAGATAACAAAGAACAAGAGTGTCCATGAACAAGGATGTACAGGCAGAAAGCCATGGTTAACGCTTCAAAGATCAGCCGTGTGTCGATAGTGAGTCATGGAATAGCATAGAATACTGCTTAACGGCTTGGAATATTGCTTACTCGACTCCATGGAAACAAAGCGGTGGTAGGACGAATATTATTTTGTATTCAGAGCACGCTAAGTGCGCGGTTGTCGCTCTTCTAGGTGTAGGGTTGAGAAACAGTGAGAACAGAAGATGCCTTCTGTTCGATTCCTGCGTAAAGCAATGAATGGAAAGAAGCACATTCTAATGATTGTGTTCTAGCATTCTTTTCCAATAATTTCTGGTTAGCAACATAGATCCTCTCGTACACACTTGCCCTGATCGGTGTATCGCCTATACAGCGCTCATCTGATCTCAACAGCATGCGAGTAAGTTCGAACTCCAGTCCAAGATGAAATACCACACAGGCTGACATGCATGAGCCGGCAGTATCAAATGGCGATGCATATGGGTGAGCCGCAGAATTTCAAAGATACCACGCAAACAACCCCTGAGCCCAATGTCGGGATGGTTGTTATTTGCCAGCGAACCTCCATGCTCTTCAGATGTAACCTGCTTCCCAGTCTACTGGAAAGACACAGCACTTGCTACTTCCTCACAACACCCAAAGATTCATGCAGAATCCAACCATTCGACTTAGTGTCAACTTATATAGAGGTCTGATTGCACAAGCAAATCTCCGCAAGTCGTTGCTAGTTGGTGTCTCGGAAGGATCGTTACCATAAAGCCACCGAATCATCGAATAATTTGTTGATTGGGATTCAATTCTCTTTGTACTCAGGAGGTGCTCCAACGCTTTGTGGTCTATCAAGATGCAAAGCTGCTCACTTCTTCAAGCTCAACCACCACTCATGCAGAACTCTTCCCGGAGCAACCTGAAATCTGTGAGTTAACTGACGACATCAGTGTCCGTCCTCTGTACCATGCTTTGCGTCTTGGTGCATGTTATCAGCTTTTTCACAGCCCTCCACAACTCAACGGAACCCTGACTCTTCGCTCCACTACAGTGGATGTATTAGGAGCTATGTGGGACCGTAATATGGCAGGTAATTTGGTGCTTGAGGGCTGCCGGGTGTTGAAAGACAATCGATATCATTGTGGATGAAGGTTGTGTACGGCATACGCATATATCAAATCAGTCACAAACAGGGAACTGCCCCTACAGTAAACACATCCATAACAAATCTATATAATTAAAAGTCGTAAATATTATCATGATACCCCCTAAACCGGAGCGAGGGTCTAACTACCAAAAATAAGCACTCCCATATACATCCTGATAGCACTGAAACGTATCCGGACAATGAACAGCCTTCTGCCCAAAAATAATATGCCAATTATACTCCATCACCCGCGCACTCAAATCATCCGGCAAATCCGTCGTCAACACCCAATTATAATACCGCTCATAATCACTCTTCGGCCTCTGCAGCACCTGATCCCTCGACACTGCGAACTGCGAACAACACGGCGCCGCGACAACCTCCGGCACCTCTGTGTTGTTGTGTAGTTCCTCCCAAGCCTGCGCGTAGACTTTTTCTGCTGTTTTGCCTGGTCGCGAGGGGTTGCGGAAGGGTTGGATTTCGTCCGGGCAGCCGGGGGATTCTTGGCAGCGGAGGTTTGCGAAGCCGTTTTTCTGGACGAAGTCTGTTTGCAGGGAGCGGACGGATTCGACGTTGCTGTAGGAGAGGGTGTCTGTGTGCCAGGCTTGGGGCCAACCGTCTTTGTGGCTGTGCAGGAAGATGATTGTTGCGGGGAGGTCGTGGTAGTGTTCGACGATGTAGTGGAGGTAGGCGAGGCTTTCACGGCCTTTGTTGATGGGGGTGTGGCGCGAGGCGAAGGGGTCATCGACTGTGTAGATTACGTTTCGCCATCTGCCTGTGTGTGAGACTTGTCCTTTTACCAGTGTTTCGGGCAGACTCACTCGTTCAAATCATTGCTCACCCACGACGTATCCTCCCACGACATCTTCGCCATGACAATCGTACGATCATTTGGCACGATAATCGGCGTAGTCTCATACTCCGGCTTCTTCGACAACACCTTTCTATCACCCGGTTTCGTCTTCCTCATACCGCTCACCCCTGGCCGTGCTCTATCGTGATAGCTTTCCGGATCAGCAGCAGGAGCATCCTGTTGTACAGGATAAGTATCCGGAATCACAGGCGTCTCGGGAACAAATTCGTTAGCGGGCGAACCAGCGGATGTAGGGGCGGGCGAGCTGATCTGCCAGAACGGCTGGACGCGCGAATCATCTTGGACGTGGTCGAGATGGCGTTTGATGAGAATGATGGCGAGGATCAGCAGTGTGGCCGAAGCGACACGGTATGTCAGAGTCATTTCATATCTTGTCGCAGAGTACACCTGGTATGTAGTATATAGAAAGGATGAGAGGGAGGAAAGGAGAGGAGAGGTGTACGGAGTGGAAAAGGGAAGTCGGTCGGTCGGTCGGTCGGTCGGTCGCGAAAAGAAAAGAAAAATCTGGCAAAGACGGGTGGAAATTGGCAATGCCGATCAGTAGGGGCCGAGACGGGGACTATCTATGGTAGACAGTCCGATACGAGGAATTAGAACACAATTGAACGAAGTATATTGCTCTTCTCTGCCTGTCGAGTGACGATCGTATGCGGTGATGTTTCTATCTCAGACGTTCCGGATAGATGAGGGATGACACGTGCTGCAATTGAGTGAGTGTTTGGATAGTTACCTGCCCAGTGTACAATCGCCTAGCACTACCAGCTAGAAATATGTCTACCGTATACAATTGACAGAAAAATAGCTGTGAAAAGAGCAATGGCCGTGAAGTGACGTATTCCATCCTAACATTTTTACCCAATGCGGTATCTGCCCAGCCCAGCTCAGTGGAGTGAGACATCCACATAAATACCACTTAATGCAAATCATTAACCATAACCATTAACAGCACCTCCCCTTCTTCCTCTCCCCTTCCAACTGCTCCTCCCCATACGCATCCAACGCAACACTACTCGACGAAATCCCCAACCAACTCCTCCTCTTCGCATCCCCCCCAGCACCTCCCGGTCCAGCAGGCCCCAACCGAAACCCCCCATTCCCATCAACCCCAAGCCCCCTCGACGAAGACGCCTCCGCAGCGACCACCGCCGGAAGATCCTCCACTACCTCTCTGCCCCCTCGATTCCTCAACCGCACACCACCACTCGACAAAGACAGCCCCAATGGCCCGGACGACCGTACTACCTCCCGCCGATGTCTCTGCTCAACCAATTTCCGCGCAATCACCCGAAACACCTCCTCAATACCCTCGCCGTCCTTCGCGCTGATCTCATGACAGCAGTCCCATCCGATATCCTGCCCCCAGAACCCGCTGCTTCGTTTACTATCGGGGCTCTGCAGGAATAACGTACTGCTGGAGCGATGCATGAAACTCGTCGTCGACGTAGTAGGCGTAGCAGTAGCAGTAGCCGGCGGAGTAGACGCCTGGGTGGGATACAACTGCTCGGCGACATACGCGATCGTGCGCTCAAACGGCACCCGTCGTCTTGAAGGGTCTAATGCCACAACATCCGACTTCGTCCCCACAACATGTATCACAATCCCCTCCCCATCATCGCCCACGGCAAGGTTATCCTTCAACTCCTTCAACCACCCCGCCATTTCCTCGAAGCTTTTCTCATCGGTGATATCATAGCATAGCAAACAAGCGTGTGCGCCGCGATAATATAGTCGGGAAATACTCCGGAAGCGCTCTTGGCCTGCTGTGTCCCAGATCTGCAGACGGACGATTGTGTCGGAGGTGCGGTCGAGGATGCGTTGGGTTATGAAGGAGGCGCCCAGCGTGGGGGTTGTGGTTGTGGGGGAGAAGGTGTTTTGGACGTAGCGGTGGACGAGGGAGGTTT